AAAAGGAAAGCAAGAAAGCAAGCTGCCAGGTCAGGGACTTGAACCATGGTCGGCCATGTGGGAATCCAGCACCCTTAACCACCACACTACCTGCTGGCCCAGAGAGAATACATTTAAAAAAAAAAATTAGTTATTTAATTTTATTTATTCATTCATTTTATTTTAATTTGACCAGAGAGAGACAGACAGGGAGAAAGGGAGAAAGAGGGAAAGTGAGAAAGCAAGCCACCAGGTCCAGGACTCGAACCACAGTCAGCCATGAGGGAGTGTCCAGAGCCTTAACCACCACGTCACCTGCTGGTCCCAAGAGAATACATTTTTAATAGAGTTCAATTGTACTATTTTTAATAATATCTTATGTGTTTTTTCTTTAAGAAACTAAGGAAACTGTTTCCAAAGCATCAGAATTGGAAGGTGAATACCTTGAGTCAGTTACAACAGCAGAGAGTAAGGAGCAAAGCAAACTGGCATGTGTACATGGCACTGAAGAGACCAGTGTTTGTCAAGAAGCAAACCTTACAGAGAGGTAAAGGTGGGAAGAGATTTTGGGGTTTGATTTATACTCTGTTTTCAGCTATAGTTGTAAACTCTAGTTGAAAGAATTTCATTGAAATTTAAATATTCTATTAAATGTATTTTAAAATCTCGAGACCGTTTGATTAGATGATCTTTGACACACCTTCCTGTAAAAATAATGCTGTGGTTGGTTGCCTTATTTCAAATACACTGAAATTCTATTTCAGAAATGAAGATCAAGAAGAGAGATCTCAAGAGGTTCCAATTTTGTCGGTCATTCCCACTGTTTCCTCTGAGACAGGGCCCCATACCCTTGGTTTGGATAGAGGTCTCAGGGAGAATTCTGCTGAGGAGTTCCTGAACAAGGACTCTAAAGAAGACAGTGTGCTTACCCTTCATGTGCCAGAGGTAAAAGAATCTAACATATGTGGAGGGGTAGCAAGGTGATTTTTTTCCCCCATTCAAAAAAAATTAAGGTATAATTTACATACAACATACTTCACCCTTTTTGGTGTACAGCTTTATAAGTTTTTATAAATATATACAATTATGTAACCAATGCATGAGCACTTTCATCACCCACAAGTACCCTGGTGCCCTTCTTTAGTCTCTCTCTTTCCCCCCTAGCAACTGCTGATCTGTCTTCCCAATAGATTTTTACCTTTGCAAAACTATTAAGATAGGAATTTAATTATGTTTTCAGTCTCTGGAGTATAGAGATAAAATAACTAATACCCAGCTTTGCGGTAAAAACTTTGAAAAATGGGACCAGCAGTTAGTGTAATGGCTATGTCACTGAATTTCCATGTAGTCGACCGTGGTTCAAGTCCCAGACCCAGTGGCTTAAACTCACGCCAGGCGTGTGTGCATGCGTGCCCAAGGTCCTTAGAGAAGAATAGAGGAGAAGGAATTGCGGCGTGGCCATCCCCCCTGGGGGATGATTTCTCACTTTTTAGTCTCTCTGTCTCTCTCTGTCTTTCTAGCGAGCACATGTGCCCTATAGCAAAAACTGCTCCAAAAAAAAAAAACCTTTGAAAAAGAAAGTGTTTTGGACATAGAGAATTCACTTTTGGCTTCTTCTTAGCCCCTGGATCTGAGTATTTTATTCATAGAGCAAGTGTTTATTAAGATGTTACTTCTAGGGAACCAGCAGTTAGCGTAATGTCTATGTTGCTGGACTCCCACGTAATCGACCGCGGTTCGTGTCCCAGACCCCGGTGGCTTAAAACTCATGCCGGGCGCGTGTGTGTGCGTGCCCAAGATCCCGAGAGGAGAAGGGATTATGGCGTGACCATCCCCTCTGGGGGGTGATTTCTTGCTTTCTGTCTCTGTATCTCTGTCTGTCTGGTGAGCGCACGCACCCTATAGCAAAAACCTCTCCAAAAAAAAAAAGATGTTACTTCTATAAGAGTAAAAAAAATTTCTGGCTAGATGAAATTAAAGTACAAGTTTATTTTGGTGCAGATTTTTTTTTCAGTCCATCATAGTTTTTTTTTCCCATGATGAGCATTTTTCATGAACTTTGTGAAGACCCCATTATATGTGTGACCTATATCTATATACCCATTGATAGTTTCAATTATTGACATTGTTGCTTATGAAAAATTTTAAGATTTTAAGCAATAGGGAATTAAAATGAAAGTTGAATCTTTTTTAAAAGAATTATTTTATTTAATTTTCTCTCTCTCTCCCCCTTCCTCCTTCTCTCCTTCCCTTTCTGTCTCTTTCTTTCTTTTTTATTCAACTAGGGAGGGACAGAGAGAGAGAGTGAATGAGGGAAAGTGAAAGAGCAACTTGCCACATCTGGGACTCCAACCATGGGTAGCCATGTGGGAGTCTAGCACCCTAAACCATCATACTACCTGCTGACCCCAAAGATTGCATTTTTAGGAAAAAAAAAAAAGCAGCCTAGTCTGTGGAGCAGCAGTAAAACACATCACTCTGTGAAGCTGACCCACATGGGTTTAAGTGTCACAGCTGGGGTCCTCCTTGAGTACACTGGACCCACATCTATCCATGATCTGGACTGGCTGCTGCTTGGGGTATATGGTGGCACCAAGGCCCTGCTGGAGATCCTATATCTCTGTCTCTCTATCTCTCTGCCTCTGTCACACATGGAATAGACAAACTTGAAAAGAAAAGAAAAACAGTCTTTGCAGTTTTGTGGAAAATAGACTGAACAGTTCTAGAAGTAAGCAGAGCCTCTATTCAGATGTCACTGAGAATGCAACTGGCTAGTATGATGAGAGTGGAGAGAAGATTGAAGAGGTTGGGTCTCCTTATCCCGTCACTTCTAAAATCATTTCATTGAATATACATATTTAACAATTTGGTATGGATTGTTCATATTTGTTTATTTAAGTGAAGCAGAAGTTTATTGTTGGGCTAGCCCATGGCATAGTGGTTAAGGAAGCTGGATTCCACACGGCCACCTGACCAGTTCAAACCTCAGAGCCAATGGCTTCCAAAACACGCTGGATGCATTTACATGCATGCTCAAAATCCTGAAAGGAGGGAGAAATGGAGGAAAAGGGATTGCAACAGGATCATTCCCCATAGGAGACATTTTCTCACTTTCTAATGAGTGCGTGCATCCTCTGGCAAAATTTCTTTTTAAAGTTAATTGGCACTGGGACCAGCAGGTGGCATGGTGGTTGAGGTGCTGGACACTCCCACATGGCTGACCACGGTTCAAATCCCAGACCTGGCAGCTTGCTTTCTCACTTTCTCTTTCTCTCTTACTCTATCCCTCTCTGGTCAAATTGAAATAAATAAATAAATGGATAAATAAAGTTAAATAAAACAATTATTTTTTAAAAAGTTAATTGGCAAAGCTAAAAGCTTTAAAACACTTGGGAAATTGTATATGGTTAAATGAGTTACTGAGTTTTGAAATAGTATCTCATCACTGTATCAGATTGTCAAGAAAAAAATTTCAAATGAAGATTTAGCTGACTTTACTATTTTACTTTTTTATGGTAGTATACACCAACTAGTATTCCAGAAGTCCAACAAGAGAATGTAATCAGTCCTCAAGACCTAACAGGTATGATAATCTGCTTTAGTAAAATGTCATAGAATCTAATAGTATGATTTTTACCTCTCATTTAATTGTGAGAGTAAATAAAACAGATTTATTTTGTCTATAGTAGCTTTAAAAAAATTACTTGAAGTAGTTTGTCCATGTGTTTTGTCTTTCAGATTTATAAATCCTCTCTATAGTTTATCCTGTTTATCTTTTATGAAATTGTTTTCCCCCTTTTTTTGGTGTAATTTAGCTTTTTAGTCTTAATGACAAGTTATAAGGCTGTCTTTTTAGAAATGAAATGTATTGATAACTTTTTGTTTTTTCGTGGATCAGCTTTTTACAACTAACTTTTAAACTTTGTCAGTGAACCTAGTAGCTGAAGAACATCAAGATGGAGAGGACGAACAAACATTCATTCTTACTCTGGTGGAAATCCCAGTCAGTGCAATAGAAAATTTTACTGATCCCTCTGCACAGTTACTGCCAAACTCTTTATTGCCAGCACCCATATTGGTCAAATCAGTGAATACCCAAGAACGAGGTGACATGAGGTAATGTATAAGCTCAATTCTTTTTGCTAGGGGGAAAGTTGCTTTCTAAATCAAGTAGTATTGATTTGCGGCTGGCAGGTGGCGTAGTGGTTAATGGTGTTGTACTCACACATGGCCAACTGTGGTTCGAGTCTCAGACCTACTGGCTTGCTTTCTCACTTTCTCTCTCTCTGGTCACATTAAAATAAATGAATAAATAAAGTTAAATAAAATAATTTTAAAATAATAGTATTGATTGAACAAACTGTTCATCAGCATTGTCATTGTTACGGAGATCTTAATTGGTAACTTAAAGAAATAGAATGTGGTTAGTTTTATATCTGATAGAGTTGTGGTTTAGGCACCAGCAGATGGTGTAATGGATATGTTGCTGGATTCCCATGTAGTTGACCAGGGTGCAAGTCCTTGACCAGCGTCTTAAAACTCATGCTGGCATGTGTGCATGTATACCCAAGATCCTAGGAGAGCAAAGGAGGGGAAGGGGCTTCAGCACAGCCATCCCTCCTGGGGAGTGATTTCTCACTTTCTGTCCCTTTGTCTCTCTGGCAAGTGCATGTGCTCTATAGCAAAAAATCTCTTTCTTAAAAAAATAAGTAAATAAAATAAACATATAAATAAAATTGTGATTTAAATGTATATCTTAATACTTCTCTATGAAACTTTTTTTTTCCCTTTATGAGAGACGGGGAGGGGTGGTAAAAGTTTAGAGACAGAGATAGCATTTTTGATAGGGACTCTCTGTGTTATGATCCTTCTGCTTCAGCCTCCCAAGTTATGGTGCTGCTGTGTAACACACTAGCTGGGGCATGTTTGATATTTTTAAGTTATTTGAAAGCCAAAAAAATTTAGCAATCTGAGAGACCAGCAGATGACATAATGGTTATGTCTGTCACTGGACTGCCACATAGTTGGCTGTGATTCAAGTTCCAGACTTGGCGACTTAACACTCAAGCTGGGCACATGTATGTGGGTGCCCAAAATCCCAAGAGGAGAATGGAGGAGAAGGAATTGTGGTGTGGCTATTCCCCCTCTAGAGGGATTTCTTGCTTTCTGTCTCTCTGGTGAGCACACATGCCCTATAGCAAAAATTCCTCGTAAATAAATAAATAAATTTAGCAATCTGAATCAGAAAAGGACACCTGTTGAAAGTGTCATTATAGGAGCTGGGCATTGACACAGCTGTAAGACAACACTACAAGACTGGCTGACCTGAGAAAGTTCTGGGTTCATGCCCAGAGACCTCCCTGAATACACCAGGTGCATGTGTGCCCATGATTAAGAGCTGGCTAAAGCTAGGAGTGAATTATAGCATGGACACTTCATTGGTGGTATTTGTTTTTCTTTCTCTCTTTCTGTCCCTCACTCAAAGAAAAGAAGAAAAAAAACTTTTAAAAATTGTATTCCACAATGTTTTTATAAAGTGACTTACTTGGTGCCCGCTCGTGCGTGTGTGTATGTGTGTGTGTACAACATGCATATATAAAACTATGAAATACATAGTCACAGAAAGTTACAGAAAAACAGTACAGAGAGGTAACGTTTTTTATATATCCTTGATACTCTTATTCGAGTTCTTTATCATAGAAGTGTTAAGTTGTATTTAAACTGCCATTGGTTAAGACACGTAATTGTTAGCCAGCAGTGGTGACACAGCAGGAACATGATGTGCCATGATGCTAAAGCCAAATGGGAAGATCATATTTGCAGTCCAAGGTCTCCCATGCCATGTGTCCCTGTGATCCCACTGAGGCTGAGATTGTAGTGTGAAGACACTGTTGGTGATCCTTCTGTCCCTCTCTCTGAAGAAATAAATAAACTTTAAGAAAAGATACTTAATTGTCTATCAAGTACCATTAGAAATTGAAAACTTTTGCTTTTTTTTTTGGAGAGGTTTTCACTATAGGGTGCGTGCGCTCACCAGACAGACAGAGACATAGAGACAGAAAGCGAGAAATCACGCCCCAGGGCGGATGGTCACACCGCAATCCCTTCTCTTCCATTCTCCTCTCAGGATCTTGGGCACGCACACACACGCGCCCGGCGTGAGTTTTAAGCCACTGGGTCTCGGACACGAACCGCAGTCGACTACTTGGGAGTCCAGTGACATAGCCATTACGCTATCTGCTGGTTCCCAGAAATTGAAAACTTTTATATTAGGAAAGGACATTTTAGATTAAAAAGTTTAACTTTATAGGCCAGGTGCTGTAGGCCACTGGTTAAGTAGTGTGCTTTGGGAGCCAAATTCCATATGGCTGACCATGGTTTGAATCCCTGCCCTAGAGGCAACTATAACTTTAAGACCAAGAAACGATTATTTACCTCAATATTACAGAATTTAAGTTGTGAACTTTAAAGTATGAGTGTAACTTGAAACTAGCATTTTTATAGGCATGGCTGTGGTTATGCATTAGTTTGGAATTTTTTTGTTTCATTGGGATAGCTCAGTCTTTTTTTTTTTTTTTTTTGAGGTTTTTGTTATAGGGTATGTGGTCTTACAGAGACAGAGAGACAGAAAGTGAGAAATCATCCCCCAGGGAGGACGGTCACACCAAATCCCTTCTCCTCCATTCTCTCGGGATCTTGGGCACACACACACACACACACACACATGCCTGGCGTGAGTTTAAGCCACTGGGTCCAGGACTCGAACCATGGTCAACTACGTGGGATTCCAGCAACACAACCATTACACCAACTGCTGGTCCCAAGCCTAGTCTTATTTTTGTTATAGGACATGTGTACTCGCCCAGAGAGACAGGGTGGGAGAAAGCAAGAAATCACCCCCCAGGAGTTGGTCACACTGCAGCCCCTTCTCCTCCTTTCTCCTCTTGGGATTACATGCATACATGCATGCACGTGCACATGCCTAGCGTAAGGTTCAAGCTGCCAGGTCCGGGAATAGAACTGTGGCCAACTATGTGAGAGTCCAGCAACGTAACCATTACACCATCCACTGAGCCAAGGATAGCCCAGTCTTTAATCTTTCATTAAGCAACTCCTAATTCACTGATTTGTAATATATTTGTTTTCTATGTAGTATGAATTTACCAGTAACTTCAGTTGGTCAAGATACCAATTCTGGAAGAGATGATTCTGAAAAGCCTCCTGCTAATTTGGATCTTATATCTAGAAAGAGATTTCATTGTGGCCATGATGAAAGTGACGATGTTATACCTGCCAAAAAAAGTCCACTTGCTTCAAGAGATGATTGTCAGGAATACACTTCTGAGGTAAGACAGATCATTAAGCAAGTAAGATGATGAGATTTTAAATAATTTTTTCTAGTTTTATTGATTTGTCTGCAATTTATTTTAGTGTATTCAGGAATAGACCCAGTCTGATTTTCTTCAGCTGGATATCCAGTAGTTTTAACTTTATTGAATAATTCACATTCCTCCCCCTAATGTGACATTCTTATGCCAGCTTATGGCCTAGTGATTAAGATGGCTTGAAAAACACACCAGGCATATGTACATGTGCACTCAAAAATCCTAAAAGGAGGGAGAGATGGAGGAGAGGGGATTGAGATGTGACCATGTCCCATGAAGTACGTTCTCATTTTCCTTTCTCTCTGTCTCTCTCTAGTGAGTGCACATGCCCTCTAGCAAAATCAAAAAAAAAAAAGAAAATCTCTTCTTGCATCAGATTTTAAATCTGCGTATATGTTTGATGTATTCCTGAACTTTCTTTTCTTTTACATTAATTTACCTTTTTGTTCTACAGTCAGTACACAGTCTTTTGAAATTATAGCTTTAAATCGTGCTTTGGTATTTTTTAGGGACAGTCTCTCCCCAACTCTATATAGTTTACTTTTTTCAAATTTTTCCTCATTGCTTGTATAAAATTTAGAATTAGCTTGTTTAGATACTTTTTCTTCCTATTTTTCTCCTTCATGGTAGAAGATGTACACACACGAGAGAGACAGAGAAAGAGACAAACGCCCTCCACAGGGTCTGGTCATGATCCCTTCGCTCTCGTCCTACAGCCTGTTGGATCTTGGGAACTTGCTTGTTGTTAGATTTTTTTTTTTTTTACTTCGATATTTATATTAGAATCACATTAACTTGACAGATTAACTTAGGGGGAAATTGACATCGTAATTATTACATTGAATCTTTCCAAAAAGATGTATGTCTCTCTGTTTAAATCTTGTTTTGTGTCTTTTCTTCTTCATGTAGATCTTTAAACATTTATTAGGTTATTCCTAAGAATTTTAACTTTTTTATTGCTGCTGTTACTGAATTCTATCTAGAGAATTTACTGAATTTACTCATATGCACAGCAAGTTTTTTGTTGATTTTCTTGAGTTTTGTATGTAAACAGACATCATATACAAGTATAATTTTAATTCTTGAACTTTTTAATAGTTCTAATTTCTTTGTGTTTTCTAATTATATTGGCTACTATAACTCAGAAGTTAAAAAGTAGCCCCCGTATTGCATACCTTTTTCTTATTCGTAACTTACTTCTTTTTGCCAGAGGAAGTGTTCACTCGTCAGAGAGAACACATCCTCCATAGGGCATGGTCCCATCCCAATCCTTTTCCTCCATTTCTTTGTCTCTTTAGGATTTGGGACACACACACACACACATGCCTAGTGTGTTTTTCAAGTCACCAGGACCAACACTTGGAACCACAGTGAGCCTTGTGAGATCCAGCTCCCTGTGCATGGGGCTTTGTCACTGTGCTACATACCTACCCTCCACTCTTGACTTTAATGGAGATACTTATAAGGGTTTATTAGGTGGGATGTTGGCTTTGGATTTTGATAATCATATTTTATAGCATGAAGGAAGTGTTAGAGCTGCTCTTCTAGCACAGTAATTAACTCCTATGCATAGAAAGCTGGATCCGATGTGACAGACCTCGGTTTGAGCCCTCATCCTGGTGAAAAGTATACTGGGAGCTGGCAGGTGGCATGGCAGTTAAGGGTGTTGGACTCTCATATGGCCGACCATGGTTCAAGTCCTGAACCTGGTGACTTGCTTTTTCATTTTCTCTCTCTCCCTCACTAGTCAAATTAAAAATAAAAATAATAATAATAAATAAAATAATTCTGTAAAGAAAAATATGCTGAACATGCATGTGTTCGTGCCCACAATCCTGACAGGATGGAGGAAAAATGATTGATTGCGGCATGTTCAACCCCATTGGGGGGATGCTTTCTTTCTTTCTTCCTTTTTTTTTTTCTTTTTTTAAGTTTTTATCATAGGGCATGTGCGTTCACCTCAAGAGAGACAGTGAGAAGGAAGGGGAGAGATCACCTCCTGGGTCCTGCCATGCCACAGTCTCTTCCTTTCTCTTCCTGGGATTTTGGACACACATGCACACGTGCCTGGTGCAATTTTTAAGTGACTGGGTCTGTGACTTGAACCGTGCTCAGCCATGTGGTAGTCAAGTGCCTTAACCAGCATGCCACCTGTTGGCCTTAGGGGAGTGCTTTCTTTCTCTGGCAAGCTCATGTACCCACTGGCAATAAGAAGAAAGAAAAAATGAAAAGAAAATTTGGGTTCAGCCAGGGGCACGGTTGGTGGTAAGCTTAACTCCAGTATGTGGGCTTGGATTTCTGAGTCAGCTTGAAAACAAACCAGACATGTACGTGCATGCCTGAGAGTTGGAATGCTGGGTAAAGGAGATCATGGTGTGATGAGACCTCTTGAGGGCAACTGCCTCTCTCTTGCTCTCTCTCTCTGGTGCATATACATGTACTGTTTATCATGAATAAGACAAACTAAAAAAAAGGAGAAAATGTCTATTTCATTTTATTATTTTTTTCAAGGATTATTGAATACCTTTTCTGCAAATAGTTAAGGTCTTTCTTCTTAGATCTGTTGAATTATATTAGACTTCATAATGTTGGATAATCTTTGCATCCCTGAAACAAACTGCTTGATCATGTGTTAAATAACTATAGACTATCTTCATAAGTGCTTAGTAGAATTACTGTCAGACATGTCTGATGTTAGAGCTTTCTGAGTGATAACAGGCTTTTTTGAGTAGAAGAGAGGCAGGTACGTTTGTTTCAATTTTACTTGTTAAATGGACTTCTCAAATTTTTTAAAAATTTTTCTTAAAACAGGTATGTTCAAAGGAATTATTAAACGTTTTTGAGGAAACAGGTAAGGGAAATAATTTTTAATATGATTACAGTTTACTAGTACCCATGATTAGTTTTGATGCATCTTGCTCATTGTGAGATTAAATTTTTCTTTATTAAGGCCTTGGATTTGGTATTTTAGTAGCCCAAAGAATTTCCTTTTACCCTGTAATTAATAGTAAATCTTGTGGCTCTAAGGATTTTCTATAAAGTCCGACCACTACATTTAGGAATTATTTCCTTATAGGTCCTTAATTTTAGCCAGAGGCTTAGTTTAATGCTAGAGATCCTTTTCAGCTTAAGCTACCAATGGAGATTCATAAGATATTGGAGTTTTCTATTTTTATAGGAATTTAAAATCTCTCTGGGGCATTAAGCCATTTAGTGTCTATTTCCCTCATGATTAAGGCAGCCAACCACATTTATCCTGTATTTCATACATCTCTTTGGTTTTTACTTCATATATATATATTATTAGTCTATTCTTTCAGACTTACTGTGCTTTAGGCCTATCAGTCACATCTATAGCCATTGCCAAACTATAGTAATGGCACTTGAGAATAAAAAGAAAGTTGCTTATGACATCTTAAAGAGTTAACAGTTACAAAGTGGAAGGGTTTGGTAAGTTATGATAGTTTTGGTTCTTTAAAACCGTGTCAGTGCAAGATCATAGACTTGATCCCAGTTGCCTCAGCCTTGACTGTCAGTTGTAATCTGGTTACAGTTTCAAGCCTCTAGAGCTACCTTCTCTCCAATAAGACATTAACCAAATTACAACACAAAAAAGTGTACGTGGATATGTTATTACCATCTTTAATCAGGGCATTTCTTTTACAAATATGCTTTTTACCATCCTTCTAACTGTATGGAGCTAGAAGGCTCACATTGGGATCAAGGCTTTAGAAGCAGTTATCCTAAGGGAAAAACAGGTTTTTTATTTAACAAGAATTTCTTCTTCTTCTTATGTCTTAATTAATTGCATGTTGGCCTTTGTCTGTTATTTAGTTAAAGAATGGAAACTCTTTAGTTAAATTTGAATGTTTGGGAGCGTGTAGGTTTTGCATATATATATTTTGGGTTGGTTTAACTTTTGTATTTAACAAGCTTTAGATTTGTGGAAAGTGATCATCCTTTAATTTTGATAGTTCAAGAAATATTGATGGAGAAAGATACTCTGGGTCAAAATAAATCGAGTGACTACTTTATATCTGAATGTAAATCTCTTAGAGTTTTTAACCAGTTACAATATTCTTGATAATCCAAGTAACACTCCACTAATTATAATGTAGCTTACTTTTATAAGGTTAGGCTTAATAGAAAATGCTGTGTTTTTTTTCTTTGTTAAATTGAATGTGTGATTTCAGTATATGTTTGCTTTCTTTTTTTGAAGAGGAATCTTATAAAGGACAAGGTATTTTTCCTACCTCAGGAAGTATGCATAAAACTCCAGAACCTCAAAAAGAGCAATTTGAACCAACTTTTCAGAGTATTGAACCTAGACATCTGGATAAAGTAATAGACACACATATGGAAAAGAACACACCTCAGTTACCTCAGGATGCGATGACTATGTCTGATAAGGAAGAGAAAACTGGTGCTGCCAATAAGACTGAGCAAATGGGTTGTGGAGCATCATCTTCAAAAACCCCACTGTCCAGGTACCGTGAGAAAACCTTTAATAAAGTGCTTCTCTCTCTTTTTGGATGAATATAACCTATGCAGAACAGATGTGGTATGAGTAAATCCAGTACTGAGAATGGGTTCAGTAAAGGTACTCCTCTATCCATAGTGTGAAAGGAAGCACAGTAATGTTCCAGATAAATACATATTCCATAAGAGAGTTTAAGTGCTGAAACTGTGACTAGGGAATCTGTAGAGTATATCACATACTTTCCTTCCCAGATTGTTCTGGTGGTTATTTTGATCATTAAACACAGTCTACCATATAGTAGCTACTTATTCACAAATTTTATGAGACATGGGACCAGCATCAAAGATATCTCTGAAAGTTATCTATTTAAGTACCAAATAATGTATTTTTTTTTTAACTCTTACCTGAGATCAACTATTCTTTTCTCCCTGTTAAAGTAAATGTGTAATTTAAGCTCAAGGCCAACTTCTCCCACAAATTTTCCTCATACTTTAGAAGCAGATCTTCTAGGTTATCTTTTTTTTTTTTTTTTTCAAAACATTAATATGGGGACCAGCAGTTAGTGTAATGGCTATGTCATTGGACTCCCATGTAGTTGACCATGGTTCGAGTCCTGGACCCAGTGGCTTAAAACTCAAGCCGGGCACGTGTGCATACGCGCCCAAGATCCTAAAAGGAGAATGGAGGAGAAGGGATTGTGGCATGGCCATCCCCCCTGGGGGGGGGTTGATTTCTCACTTTCTGTCTCTCTGTCCCTCTCTGTCTGTCTGGTGAACACATGCGCCCTTAGCAAAAACCTCTCAAAAAAAAAACATTAACATGTGGGCCAGCTAGTTGGTGTGGTAGTTAAGGCATCTGGATCTCACATGGCCAACCGGACCTGCTGGCATGAGAAACATGCCAGGTGCATATGCTTATGAACCCAAAATTCGAAGAGGAGAGTTGAGGAAAAAGGGTTTGTCCCATGGTCATTCCCCCAGGGGATGCTCAATCACTTTCTGTTTTTCTCCCTGTCTTTCTCCGGAGAGCACACATGCCCTACAGCAAATTAAAAAAAAAAAAAAAATCATTGAGGTCAACAGGTGACATGGTGATTAAGTCACTGGACTTACATGTGACCAACCGTGGTTCTAGTTCCAGACCTAGTGGCTTGCAAATCATGCCAGATGTGTGTGTGCGTGTGTGTGTGTGTGTGTGTGTGTGTGTGTGTGTCTTGCGCACCACCTGAAATCGTGAGTTAATTGGAGGAGAGGCAATTGTGGCATGGCCATCCACCTGGATTTCTCATTTTCTCTCATTGTGTCTCTTCAATGTGGGCACATGACCTATGACCAAAAAAAAAACCAAAAAAACATTAACAAGATGTTGGTGAATGGAAAAGGCGAGGATATGCACTGGCCTCTTAAGAGAAAAGTGAGGAAAGGACATCCGTATCCTAAAAAGGCATATTTAATAAATCTATTTTTTTTCTAAATGATGAGAAGTAAAGATCAGCAATATGGGGGTCTGCAGGTAGCATGTGTTTAGGGCACTGGACTCTCACATGCTTAACCACAGTTCGAGTCCTGGCCCTGATGGCTTGAAAACCACACTGGTTACATGAGCACACATACCCAGAATCCCTAGAAAAGAATGGAGGAGAAGTGATTATGTCAATGCTATTACCCCTGGCGTGGTGGTGGTGGGGGGGATAAAATCTTTAAGGGAAAAGAAAAAAGATCAGTATTTTTTCTGGTCTTTGAGCTATGATGAAAATAGCATGAGGGAAGCATCATGGGGGTTTGGATTAAAATAGAGTAAAAAGGAAATAGTGTTCTATAACAGAGGTCAGCAAACTTTTTCCCCCCCAAAAGAAAAGAGCATCTTTATAGTATTTATTTTAGGCTTTATGGGCCATAGAGTATTGTTGCAACTGCTCAACTTTAGTTTTAGCACAAAAATAACTATAAACCTTATATAAAGAGATGAACATGGCTGTGTTCCAGTAAAACTCCTTTACAAAATCAGGTGGTAGACTGCATTTGGCCTGTGGACAAGTTTGCGGACTCCTGCTCTAGAACCTTGCAACTCTGGAAGTGTGGTCCTGTGTCCAGTATAGTATAGACATCATTTAAAAACTTAGAAATGTAAGATTCAGGCCATACCTTACCTGCTAGCATTTCAGTCAGAATCTCCTTTTTTTTTATTCGAGAGAGAGATTTTTGCTAAAGGACTTGTGCACTTGCTAGAGAGACAGAAAGTGAGAAATCACCCACCAGGGAACGTGGCCATGCCACAGTTCCTTCTCCATTTTCTTCTCAGGACCTTGGGCTTGCACGCACATGTACCTGGTGTGCATTTTAAGCGCCAGGTCTGGTATTTGAAATGCAGTCAGCTACATGGAGTCCAGCGACATAACCATTATGCCATCTGCTGGTCCCAGAATCTCCATTTTTAAATATGAGCCCCAGGCGATTAATATGTAGTTTTGAACTTGTGAAGCGCTGCTCTAGTGTAAGTCTTGACCTCTGTCACAGGTCATGGCATGGTGGTATTAGACCTAATAGAGTGCGTATTAATGGAAGAAGATGGCATTCAGAATATGTCTTCCTGGATATTCTTATGTAACTTTACATTTACCTTTCTAGACCTGGCAGAAGACCTCTGGGATTTTTGTCTTTAATATGTTCAAAGAATAGTTTGGAGTCTGATGAACCTACTCACGTCCACAGTAGGAAGCGCCTAAAACCTCTTATACCTGTACTAAGAAAGAATTTGAAAAGATCTAAGCCGCTCAGTGAAAGCCAGGAAAAAAATCAAAATCAAGGGTCCTCTGATCTGCTTCCGTCTTCAAGTGTTGTTATTAATACTCAACCTGAGAATCCTCAAAGTTCAACAGCTCAGGTATGTGATAACTATTGTGTTTCATTGTTTAATTAACATGGGTTGGATGTCAGACTAAAATGAGAAACGTGGTGATTATTGTTTTCATTTGGGTATCAAATTATTTCAGAGCAACGCCCATGTTCTTTATTTCAACTCTGTGTTTACTGACCCCTCCATACCGGAATAAGATAAGGTGTTGTATTATTGATAGAAAATTACAACTCTTTTAGTACAGAGCCTTTGAACTATCCATAAATGGAAAATTTTCTCCAGACATTATTGACCCCTTCATACTGGAAGAAGATAAAGTGTTCAATTAAGACGTTACAGCTAATTCAGTGCAGAGCACTGAACTGACCATAAGTGGACATTGAATTGCTATTCCTTTCATGCAGAGATTCTTCAGCTTGACGATTATGTTTGCATGACCAAAGCCACTGCCACTGCACACGAAATCAAAGGACAAATAGCATATGGGGGGAAAGTTTGCAGCCTGTATAACAAAGTCTTTTTTCCCTTGATATGTTAGGAGCTTCTACAAATCATTATGGAAAAGACTAATAATCCAGTTATTTTCAAAAGTCAAATAATATGAACAGGTATTTCATAGAAAATAGCCATAAGTGACACGTGAAGAGATGTTCCAACTCCATTTGGTATGAGTATGTTCTCAATGGGGCCAGCAGATGCTATAGTGGTTACATGGCTGGACTTCCACATGGCCAACCACAGTTTAAGTCCCAGACCTGGTGACTTGACAGTCACACAGGGCATGTGTGCTTGCATGCCCAAGATCCCAGGAGGAGAATGGAGGAGAAGGAATTGCAGCTTGGCCATCCCTCTCTCACATTTCCTCTCACTGTTTCTGTCTCTCTCTCTCTGCCAAGTGCACATGCCCTAAGGCAAAAATACCTCTTAAATGAATATAGGGGCCAGCAGGTGGCATGGTGGTTAAGGGTGCTAGATTCCCACATGGCCTACTGTGTTTCAAGTCCTGGACTTGGTAGCTTGCTTTATCACTTTCTCTCTCTCATCAAATTTAAATAAATAAATAAACAAATAAATAAATAAAGTTAAATAATTTTTTTTGGGGGGGGTTGCGCTCACC